GGGGTAAGAAAAATAATTTAAATTTTATTTTAAAAAAAAATTATTTTTTTATGGATAGTTATACTTTAATCTTTGATTTTTAATTAATATTAATAGTTTATTATTTAATTTTTGTTAAGGTGGAATATTTTATCCATGTGGAATGCCATGTGTCAAAAAAATTTCAAATAAAAGAGAGAGTGTAATACACACACAACTTAGGTGTGTTTCTCAAACTAAAAAGTGATAGTCTAGGTATGAAACTCAAAAAAAAGGGATAGTTTAGGTGTGTTTTTGACACTTATCTCTAAATTCTACTCCATGGATTGTACGTCAAGCACATATAGAAACAACAATGCTAAATCAATATTTTATTGCCACTAAAGATCATTTTTGGTGTATTGAAGGAGAGAGTAACGATACAATCATATGTTAGGGGAGATGAGCTAATGCTTTGGGTGGTTATATCAGGTGCAAATGGTGTGGTACACAGCTATTCAAAATCTCATCTTCGAAAGGACAATTTTTTGGTACATTACATTCAGACCTCTTAAGTGTACTTCTCTAATTATACATTTTACCTCAATGGGAATATTCTTTATCTTTATTTAGTATAGTTTTAGTTGAGCTTAGTTTTTAGCTCGATTTGTTCTCAAATGCATTCTTTAATATTTTTTGTACCCAAGAGGATGATTTGAATTATTTTTTCTCTAGTTTGTCTTGTATAACGACGTAGATATTTGCCTCATTTGATCTTGAGAATAAATAATATTTGAAGGAAAATTCAGAGCTACTTCTTAAAATATCACATGTGTACACAAACATTAAGTTCCAATCAATATTTAAAAGAAGAAAAAAAAACTCATGCAAACACCATCCTTAATGTAAGTGTAACAATAATAATAGTCACGAACTGGTATTGATTTATATGAAATCTTTCTTTGATTGTGTTTTTGTTCTTAGGTAAATGAAATAGTCGAGCACCAACTACCAAAACATTGTCCCACTCAAATTCAACCTCTAGGGCCATAACAACTTTAATCCAAAAAGTGTATGGACGGTTGAATTATGATCTCAATGTTTTGTGGCTCCTAACTTCTACTTCTATTCCAATCTGTGATTTGCATTCACAAACAAGAAATACTTTTTTGAGTTCACTCACCTCCCTTGAGGACTTAACAAGTTTGCCCTATTCCAACACTAACTTTATGTCCCTTTTGGCTCAACCTTTGTTGTCTCACAATTTTCTCCCAAAAACAAGAGTTAAATTTTGAACTCACGTCCTAACTTTTTTCTCTCATTGCGATTTAACATTTGCCTAGCTTCACAACAAATCACCTCTACAATTCAACCACCAAATATCCATGAACTATTACACTAATTTCCGTTAATTCGTTGTGGTTGAATATTACAAGTCTTATGAGTCAAATTTAATTTCCCTCCACCATTAATCATTTGTTGCAAGTACAAACATACTAGTAACAAAACCATTTTACACAATCTCTCATTATATCCTTTTGCCTGCTATTTACACCCTGACTCAACTTGAGCAACACATCTCCAGAAAAGCTTTTTGTTTAGGTCCCGACAACTTGCCAACAGAAAAGTTGTTGCTTAAAGGCTTTATTGAAAGCTTTAAAAGAGTAGGAGAAAGCGATTTCCAATATTATAATATTTTGCATGACTAACGTCAGTATTGTCATTTTATATCAATAAGATTCAAGTCAGGAAATGTTCTTGTTCTTAGATGCTCATCAGGTTCTATAAAACGATGTCACGACTAGTTCCCACTTTTTGTTTGTTTTTTGGGTAAGGTAGTCTCCACTGTTTAATAGAACCTGTCTTTGTTTTACTAAAATAATTTGAAACATCAGGATAAACATCGAAAGGATGTTAGCGCTCTTGTGTAGGCAGGATCATGTCCAAGGAGACATGCCTATACAACAAAAGTTACTCAGTCTTAGCAAGCATGATGTAAGGGAAACACATTTTAGTAAGTCATACATGATGGTGAAAGCTAGTGAAGTGCTGTACCTGTGACGTCAATAACTATAGTTGAACAAAAGCAAACACAATGCCGGTGTTGAACTATGATCAATAGAAAATAGGTTGGTGATCAAATATGCAATCATATGCTCTCAAGCCCACACCCAGAAAATTCCTCCCTCTTCCCCTTTTATCTTGCCTTTACAGCCACGCTAACCTGATTCGAAGGAGCACAAGTAATTTCTATGCTAGAGCCTACAACGAATTTGAATACTTCGAATTTCATTTGTAAGATATGCACCAAATGCATGGTTACACTTTTGGAATCAACCGCCTGGTCTCACAGTTTGTACAATGGCTGTCTAGTTCTATGACATTTTCAATTCATAAACCCGCCTCCTGGTATGGTTGGCAGTCCTTGTGATGAAACTTGACTCTGAGACATTATTTGTGACCTTGCAGGACCTTGCATGTAGGTTTGGTTCATCCCTTGCTGCTGCTGTTGCTGCTGCATTTGCGGAATCTGCTGCTGCTGCTGCATTTGCGGGATCTGCTGCTGCTGCTGCTGCATTTGGTGAATCTGTTGTTGCTGCATTTGGGGAATCTGTGATTGTTGCAACGGAATCTGCTGTTGTTGCTGCAGTTGCATGAGAGGTTGCTGCTGTTGCTGTTGCTGCAGCTGTTGAAGGGGCTGCTGTTGTAGCTGCGTAAGATGCTGCTGTTGCTGTTGCTGCTGCAGCTGTGGATGTTGTGCTTGCAGCTGCTGCTGCTGCTGTTGTTGCTGCTGACTTGGTATCTGTGGCTTAAACACCACCATATCCTGAAGACACAAAAAGGGCATTACACTGAAGGCTCATGCACAGTGAAACCATTCCTAAAATATTTTGTTAAATTGATCATCAATGAAGTGATGCTTAGAGTACATAACATTTCTTACCCCAGGAAAAAGCATTCCAATCAAGCGGCAGGCTTTATCAGAAACAGAGAGAAGCAGTGTCTGCGATGGAAGTTGTATTACTGCACACTGGACAATTTATGGAAAACCACAAGTTTAGTTCATCGAACCAGTTATAGAAAGAGAGCTGTTTCTGGAACAATTAACAAAAATCAGAACAAGATTGATGTAGATCTACAGAGCTGTATTACTAAATATAGCCTGCCCCTCTCCAGAGAAAGTAAATAAATAAATAAATCAAGAAGAGGAAAGTGGGGAGGGAGATTGCACAATGCATTATTGTCAACAGAAGGGTTAGAAAAGAACATGCAAGCCACCTGTGTAGATAGGTCTTCATGAGAATAACAATACAATTTCACCAAAAAAATTCCTGAGATGCATGTTAGTTCTGGTGCAGATTTCAATTGTAAAATAAATTCAGTTCTCATAGTGGATCTTCAATAAATTTGAAGTTGCAGAGATAGATGTTTTAAGCAGTTAAATCTGTATGTTTTGCTTAAAGATGCGGAATAACCAACACATATGAATGTCATATTTTTTCCCCAAATAAAAAAGAGATTAAGTGGCCATAGGAATGTCATCTGAATCATCATTTCTCACAATGATGCAAAAACAAGACTGCTGTACTTGGTAAGATCTTCAGCAAGGTTATCACGGTTTCAGTAAAAAAAATCACCCATCAACCAAACAGAAAGGAAAAAAGTAGTTTTAACTTGTGTAGTAACTTGAGTTCAACTAACGTTTGCAGTAGACTCTCAAATTCTGTAGACAATACAAAATACCCACCTGACACTCTAATCATCAGCAGCTACCTGATGCGTCAAAACTCAAACAGTTCACTATTGATGCGCTAGAATAAGCCTCATTTTTAAACCCACAGGAAAGGGAAAAAAAACTGTGATTCATCTACTCCAAATAAGATAATAACAGCACAGTCGATGACAGGCCTAAACATAATTCACAGACAAATGCCAACTTCCACATGATTTAATACCACAAGGTTACACTATTTCAATGTCTGAAACACCAATTAGTCAAAACTGCTACATTTTCCTCAAATAGCTATTCAATAAATCATATTGTTACTTCATAAGCCTGAAAACTGCAACTTTCAACTTGAGAACTTGATCTCTCCTACATGGCATGGTGTCTCCTTACATGGTTGTTAATGTATGTGATTATCTGATGCCCACTTTTATTTGCTTAATTCTCTCTTCAACCCCTCCGCACGTGCAGGCGTGATCATTTTCGTGGGCCAAATACATGAAAATTCTTAGACAGTGGGTGGCAGTGAGACTCTATTCAACAACCTATGCTTGCTCATATACCATGTTGAAATGTGTTTTTATGAGGTAAAATATTTAGGGGAGGTTTGGTAGCTAGTTAGAGTTATGCGGGGATTATTAGTTAATGTGTAAAAGTTTACCAGATACTTCTTACTTAGTACTTAGGGGTCGTTTGGTAGAGTGTATTGGAGAAAATAATGCTTGCATTAGCTTGATTGTATTATTAGTACCTTGTTTGGTACACTTTTCTAACCTATGCATAACTAATGCTTGTATTAGTAATACACTCTATTGTGTATTGAAGAGTGTATTACTAAAACCATCTATTTCTATGCATTAGAAATGCAATGGGTTCTAATGCATGCATTAACATTATTAAAGACACAATTGCCCTCAAAAACTTTTTTTACATCCTTTCCATTATATTTGTTGAGGGTATTTCTGTAAACGAATATTTTTTCTAAAAAAACTATGTAATGCATAATATTTTTAGTACACCAAACCAAACATTGCATAAAAAAATGTTATCATAACTAATGCAAGCATAACTAATACAAGCGTTACTAATGCAAGCATTACTAATACACTATATTTTGCATTATTCTTATACACTCTACCAAACGACCCCTTAATGTATTAACTTATAAATAACGATTGTCAACATAACACTTTTTACCGTTGAACGGTGGAATTTATTTGGTAATTCAGCTCCCCATCTCGAAAAACTAGCCATTAGAATTTGGGTTTAATGGCTAGTTCTACTGGATGTGAGTGTAACTAGAGTGTGTTCAGCATATAAGTACTCATAGTGGTATACATCATATATATCCATTTCGCTACATAGTTAATCAATTAGACTAATTTACTAACATTAAAATAATCAATGCAACAGATCCATACCAAAAAAGGGAACAGAGATTGGAGCATCAAAGATTGATTGATCTAGTGTATGTTAAGTACAATCGTGCTTTAAAAGTTCGGTATGACTTGCGAGTGTCATTGATCCAATCTCATTGGATAACATTGATCATAGTAATGTGTGGTTGGTTGGGAAGATGGGTTTTAATGTGGAAGCAGAAGATGAATTGGTGTTTGGAGGTGACAACTTGACAAGATGATGTTTCAAGAATGTTGGACATTGAGGACGTGTTGATATATATATATATATTGCACTTTTATTTAGTGAAGCCCACACTAATAGTGTGTTTTATACTGTAACAGGGCTTTAGCGCTTCTCTCTTTTGACGACACTGCCGAGGACATGAGAAAATTGTTGGATATTCAGGGTAGGGTCACCCTCTGACAGACGATCTACTTCTGGATATTGTGTTCTAGTTGAGGGAAATTTGGTGTCTCGGAAAAGTAATAAAAATGTGGTTGGTAGATCTAGTGTAGAAACATAATATCGGGTTATGGCAGTGGCAATAAGTTAACTTATATGGATCAAGCAACTATTGAAGGAGTTGAAATTTGGAAATAAAAAAGGCATGGAATTTGTGTGCAACAATGAAGCTGCACTTCACATTGTATCGAATCTAGTGTTTCACAAGAGGACCAAACACATGCAGATTGATTCTCATTTTGTTAGATAAAAGGTACTTACTCTCAGAAGGTTCGTGCGATAAGTGATCAGCTTGCATATATATATTCACCAAGTCCCTAGCCAATCCTAGAACAAGTTATATATATAAGGAGCTTGGTACATATAATTTGTATGCACCAACTTGAGGAGTGTTAGAATCCTGAGAATATTCTATAGCATGTGTAAATAGTAAGTAGCTTGATTTATTCCTATTATAATTAGATATTGATTTATATTGATTTACTTTCCTTTTTTGGACATGTAAACTTAGCTATTTAAACCTCAATAGCTTGTGAGGATAATGAAGCTGAGTTCCCTCTAAAACTCTTGTTTTCTCACAACATTCTATGATACTTTGCTGGCTCATGAGAAAATTATGTTTCTATCCAAGTTTCAGCCACAAGCACCTTGATTTTTGTCTCTAAAACATCTCATCAAGATTAACAATCTCCTTCGAGCCATTCATAAATGTTGTTTTTTCTACATTTTAGTCTGCACTGCTAGAGGGGAGATTCAACCTGTGACCATATGTCCCATTCTGGTGAGAATTTATTATTCTCATCTTACAATCCACCAAAAACCTCCTTATTGCACTTTTAATATCTTCCTTAAACCTTTTTAATATGATACCATGTCGAAGTGTGTGACCATCTCATTAAAAAGCTTAAACTTGTAGAGAGAGCAAATCTTTTATTTACGTAATTATGTCTTCAGCAATGGTCTTGGACAAGCTTCACCACATGACTTGCCTATTGGGAATGACTTAGGTCCAAAATCCACAATTTTAATGGTATCAAAGACAAAGCCAACCCTATTCTTGGTTACCTAATGTTGAACCCCCACTTTATATTGTCCACGCTTTAAATGTTCAACCCTGGGTACGCATGGGATGTAAAGTGTCTCAATTTCTTGAGAGGATTACTGTCTCCTATATGGTAGTTTTGACAAGCCTTACCTCATGAGTTAGGTTTTTAGCAGGGGTGAATTTAAGAAGGCTCAAGGAGTGTCACGCAACATTGTCGCATCGGAAAAATTTACTAAAGATGTATATATAGTGGGGAAAAAAAACAGATATAAAGGATATATAATGTAAGGTGACACTCCTTAAACCAAAGTTGTAAGTTCAATTAGTTTGGTGCTGAAATTCCACAGGTCATGTGTGTGCTCAATCCTGCCTAGCCTCATTTTAATACATTTTTTATGGTCTTTTTCATTGACCTTTCTCACCAATCAAATTGATTAAAATAATTTAGGAAATCCAATAAATAAAAGTTGTTTAGTGATCATTTGGTGCTTTGTATAAGAAAATATTTGGTACTATTATTTTTAATGAGGTTATTTTGAATACATTTCAAAAAAATAAAACTCATCGAAAAAAAGTTAAAAGAAAAAAATTAATTTAAATCTTTTAAAAAGGTACAGTACTAAATGTGAATTATATTTTATTTATATTTTATTCCTTTTTAAAATATGGTGTTACATTATTTACTTGCCATTTCTCATTTAAAAAGCAGACACCACTGACGAAAATCCTGCGTACACCACTGGGTTTTAGGGTGAGTTAGGTCAAGTCCATTGTCTCTACGGAATCAATTATTCAAATTTAGAATTACTTGAAATAGTTGTTCAATCTATTATATTGTTATTTCAAGATACAAGCCCATACACGGTGGAGATACATATGTGTATCAAAATAAGAGTATGCACCTCAAATCATTCACCATAATCAAGAACGATAAACAATTGGCGACTTGCATGTGTGCAGTTGACATTGCTGCAAGATCGATGCAGTAAACCAATAAAAGAGCTACAAAGAAATCTGGTTTTTCTCTAGCTGCAGAAGCTCGGTCTTTTAACTAAAGAACACTACCATAAACGAGAATAGGGCAGTTCAAATGGATGCAACAAAGATGCAGGCAACCTATAAAAGAACTACAATGAAAAGGGGTTAGTATCTAGCTGCAGAAACTCCATCTTTAAAAGTAAGAACACTTACAAGCTTCTTTTCTTGCAGCTGACTAAGGAATCCATGCTGGTTCATTGCCCGAAAAACTAGAAAATCTGCCTTCCCAACATATTGTCTGATCCAAAACAAAGATGTAATTTTCAGAAAGCCGTAAATTGCACTATGGACGACATAATAAGAATCTGTTTCTAACATGAAAAAGATACACCAAGCAAAATTTTAATTGATCTAAAATGAATTACTTGTTATTCATATGATCCTGGGAAATAAGGCGAACAATTTGCATTGTTGGAGGCCAATTTGCAGCAAGCCTGACAAAAACACAAAGGACAAATCAATTCTAAGTGTTAATACAGTTAAAAAAACACTGCATTATGGAAGTGAAAAGAAGACTAAAGATGCATAACAGAAGAACAAAAAGACAATTTTCCAGAAATGACATCATTTGCTTCAAATACATAAGAGCATCCTCGTTATCATTCCTATGTAGCTTCCACAAATCAAAAGAAGAATCACATTTTGTTTAGGAACTTTTACATCAACTAAAGCCTCTTATAACTGAAAACTAAAATTATGAGTTAGATTCCTTCCACACATTTATAGGCTGCATTATGCCGAATTAGTTACCATAGAGAATTAGATTCCTTCCACACATTAATCCAACATAATGCAATCCGGAGAAAGTGCAACTTTCATCAAGGGAATCACAAGCATCCAACTAATGCTGCCAGCACACCCCAAAAGTTTGTAATATAGCTTAATCCTATTTTTCAAACACTTCAAGATTGGCTAGATCTCATCTGTCTATCCAACGCTAGAGTACATCTGAAAAGAACTCTATTTGTCTGCTACTTACTTCCATTTTTAAGTCTACCGGTGAAGCAATTTCTCATCCAGTATGGTTGCATGCAATGATTGAGGAGATGTTTACTTTACAAGCAAGTGGTAATTGGGAACTTGCCCCTCATCCTTCAGGAAATCTATTGTTCGCTATCGTTGGGTTTATGTAGTCAAAGTTGGTCCAGACGGCCAAATTGATCAGCTAAGTCCCGCCTTCTTGCCAAAGGATATCATCAGATATGTGGCTTGACTGCGGTGATACTCTCTCATGTGACTAAAATAGCATATGTCCGCCTCTTTCTATCCATGATTGTTGTTCTCCATTGTCCAATTGATAAATTGGACATTAAGAATGTTTTTCTCTATGGCGACATTGATGATGAAGTTTATATACAGCAACCACTTGGTTTTGTTGCTGAGGGGATGTCTAGTGGTAGTGCATGTCGATCGCACTGGTCACTCTATGATTTGAAACAATCTCCTCAAGCCTGATTTGGTAAGTGCAACATAGTTATTTAGGAATTTAGCATGACTCGTAGTGAAGCTGATTGTTGTGTTTTATCAACATTCAACTTCAAGTTTGTGTATTTATTTAGTGGTTTATGGTGACAATATAGTTATTACTGACAATGATTGTGATGGTATCACTAGTCTAAACAACATCTCTTTCGGCACTTCCAGACAAATAATTTGGGTAGATTGAAGTTATTTTCTAGGTATTGAGGTCTGTCAGCATAGATTAGGTATTGTTTTCTTTTTTTGATGACAAGAGAAACCCGCAACCGCTACCCTTTGGGTGCGCACCGGGTAAAACCCCTCACTCCTGTGTAATAGCTTGCAAACCACACCGGAGAGGTAATCCGCACTAGGCAAGCCCGGTGCGACGAGCTCGACCAAGAAGGCAAACATCTTGTTTTTGCTAGCAAGGGGTTTCGAAGTTGAAACCTCCAACATAGAAGTCCCAACCCAAACCATTGGGTCATCCCGAAGGGTATTAGGTATTGTTATTTCTCAACAAATATATGCTTCTGAGATTCTTTAAGAAACAAAAACGATGGGTTGTAAACCCCTAGGCACTCCTATGGATCTGAAGTTAAGCTTATGCTAGGACCCATTGACACTCGAGGCTCGAATCCATAAGCAGATCATTGGATACACCAACGTTGATTGGTAGGATCACCTTCTGATAGACATTCTATGTCTGGTTATTGTATTTTACTAGCAAGTAATTTAGTGCCTTGTTAAAGCAAGAAATAGAGTGTTGTCTCTCAATCTAGTCCAGAACATAATATCAAGCAATAGCTATGACAACATGTGAGCTAGTTTGGAGCAAGTGGTTGTTTGAAGGATTGAATTTGAAGAAGTACGGAAATTGAGTGGCATAATCAAGTGGTTCATCAAATTGGTGTCTCATGAGAGGACTAACCATATTGAGATAGATTGTAACTTCATCGGAGAAAAAATCTCTCAGGAGATACTGTTACAAAGTCTTTAAAGTAAAATGATCAGCTTGCATATATTTTCACCAAGTCCCTGGCCCTCGTATTAGTTACATCTGTAACAAGCTCGGTGTAAATAACTTATATGCACCTACTTGAGGAGGGTGTTACACAATCTCTGTATAAAATAGTATCTTGTGTCTCGCATTTATTGGGATATGGATTGTGTCTAAGTTACTTGGACTCGAGTGTCCGATACGGGTGCGGATCTAAAGGTCGGATCCTTCGTGATCTAATTTTTACGATTCGGGGATATGGATCCATGTATGGATACGGGTGTGGGGATTCGCCTAAAAATAATTAGAAATATTTAAAAATAGAGTTATAAAACCTAAATTATGAAATATTATGTGTAGAACTTGAAGAGAATTCTGGAAGGAGATCAAAAAAAAAGAGTGACATAGAAATTTTATATAAAAAAAGGTATTCTATTTCCTTCAATTTCACCTTAACTTTTGTATTGATTATAGAAATCATTTAAATTGTCCAGACTTTCCCCATCAATTTTGGTCAAAGTACCCAAAATTGGTTGACCAAATCGGGCACGGATCCCACACCCACACCCATGTCGTGTCGACACGGGTGCGGTACCAAAAGTGAAGAGTCCAAGCAACTTAGGATTGTGTAATGTATGGATCCCACACCCACACCCATCTTAATTGTATTTTTTCGTGTCTTCACTTCTAGCGCACTCCATTCTTAAGATCATGTCCAATAATTCATGTTCTAAGCTTGTTACATTAACCTCAAAGGTTTTGCAAGCCTTTACCATAACCAGCTTTGTCCATTTTGATAAGGAAATTCTTGATAGAGTTTGAACTATTTGTTGATGAACAGAATTGTCACCATGCCATGGAAGAGAGTGTCATTGTAAGATTGAGATGAATAATCAAATCTTGAGCCATGTGTTGGTACTAAATCCATGATTTGTGGTGAAATTGAAGATAAATTCAATTCATGAGGCAGTTCTCCTTCTCATCAACATTGCAGCTGCTTGGGAAAATGCTCCCCTCTGAGTCAGAAATCATCCGTGTAAGCTCCAGTGCATGGAGCTTAATGGATAGAGGGTCGAGTGTAATCCTTGGAAAAAGAGTGTCGGGTTTAGGAAGGCATGGGTCTTGGGCTATCAATTTAGCCTTCTAGATCTGCTTGTCCTTTTCTCTTCTTTTTAGGCCTGAAGTATAGACGGTATAGTATACCTGGTCCATTTTCTTTGAAGTAGGAAGCCAGTTCTCTATTTAATTCGTCCTGAAATATTATTTGTGATTTGAGGCCCCACCTCTTTGGCAAGTGGCTTTTTTAAAAAGGCTAGTGGCACGTGTTATAGATGTGGCCAGACCTCTCTAGGGATTTGACGTGTGCAAGGCTCAATACACAAACCCCTCCACTAATGGCAATACCTTTGTCGCTGCACTCTGCCTTCCAGACGTGACCCATTACTTTGTGTGGCCATCTGAAATTTCATAACTCCATTCTCCGTCAATCAATTCTAGCTTACTCGAAAAACTTCCAATTGATTTGTTGATACAAATTCTAAGAAAGTGAAGGTGGGTCTTCTTTTCGGTATCTTCATCAATGTCAACAAAGCCGCCACCGCACAAATCACCAAAAACTTTAAAGGAACTTTCTGACCAAGCATGGACTAGAAGTCCAAATACTTTTATCCATCTATAGTCAGATTTTGAATCCTTCATTGCTAACCCTATAACCAGCAAACACAATTCCGGAGATAACCTTCTGCCATTCCAGTATCAATCTTGCACCTTCATTCTAAATGCTTCTTGACAAGAAGGCATTTTGAAAAAGAATTGATTATGCGCAATTGGCGTCACCTACAGGCCGACAGTCACCTTCCATCTGTTTAGAAACCATTTCTGAACAACTTTTTGATTTGGAGATATGTTGAAAGGATCATTAAGTCTCCCAAATAGGCATTGGTAAGAAGATGGACGTTATTTGCTTCAGCCTCTAGACTGATTTTGATTTTGTTTTGGACTGCTACAGCACCATTTGTCTCCATTGAAGGCCAAACCTCTGGATTTGCTACTTCAAAACAAATTACTGCCTGATTATGGGGTTTCCATTATGTCGCTGGTTGTTGTGGTCTCCATAGAAATCTCAGGATTTTGTCTGTAATGTCACACCATCCTCCATTGTCAATAATTTCTAGAATGATTACCAAATGATTTCCTGTCACCCAACCACACCTCAATTTGAACAAGCATACTATAACTGTTAAGATCTGATAAGGTTTGTATAGGTAGGCCTCTATCTTCCTACACCATCTACAGCAAAGACTATCCTTTCCCTGTGAAGCCTCTTTTAAAGCACCACATACCCACCTCAAGTTGCTTTCGTAGATTCTGATCTTGCTAATGAACCTTCTGCTGCGCCTCTAAAGCAAAAACCATCTGACCCGATCTTTGCTAATGTCGATTAATTCAAATGACTTATCTCCGGCTGAGAATAGGCTCTCCCCTCCTTCATGGAGGAGAGAAACTCATCAAAAAAGGACCGAGTCCAATTAGACAAGGTGTTTTTTGAAAATAAGCTCATTTCCCAGATGAGAAAAAATTGAAAAGGGAAATGTGTTATAGAATAATGTCTCAGTTGTAGAAAAAAAGAATTTTATAAAAAAATCTCTCACAAAACAAGTTTCTAAAACTTAATCAGGAATTCCTTGGTGTCTCTACCATTTACTGATCTTGCTATATTTGAGAGATCAAGTGTATCATGACAACAGAGTTCTTTAGGTGTAAGATAAAAGATCTTGCAATTCGAAGATGGAAAAGACAGTAGCATAGCTAAACTTACACTATAAAATACAACTACCAAATCTCCTTACAACTTATGAAAGACAAAAATATAGTCCCTTCACAATCCAACAAAGAATGGGACCGTTGCAACAACAACAGCATACCCATTGAAATCCCACAAGTGGGGTCAGGGGAAAGTAGAATGTACGCAAACTGTACCACTACCTCAAGGAGCTAGAGAGGATGTTTCCGAAAGACCCCCGGCTCAAGTGCAGTAAATCCAAGTACATAGAAGAAGGAGACAGTGAAGAAATATAGCAAGTAACAAGGAAACAGTGCAACGTCTACCAGAAGGGAGCAAAACAACAACAAAACAGTGCGATAATCGAAACACAATAAACAACATAGTAGGATTGTTTATTGTAAGTGGCATTGTGAAATCACTAAATCAAGCATTTATGAAAATGTGAACTTACGATTCAGAAGCTGAGGCGCTCCTATACCCCTGCCACAAATTAGATCACAAGATTTTGTACAGTCAGTAGAGATCCAGCAAACCATTTTACAACATGAAGAGATAATTAGGCAATACTTCATGTCTCAACACAAAAGCTGGATTGCCTTCTTTAAGACACTATCACTTAATGATAACCATTAGAAAAAGATCAAAAAACACAAAAGAACTTGTAATCACTAGAAATTCCGATAAGACAAGTTATAAGCATACCTCTAATCTGGTAATAAATACAGGTTGGCCCTGTCTCTGACCAGATAAGTTTCCCTGCAACATTTTCATTACAAATTATCAGGAGTAGTTCATTAACATCATACAGAAATGTAGCTTCCAGTAGGTAGTTTCTAAAAGAAAACAAGATATGGGAAAACATGAACACAATTGGGATGACGAAAAATTTATACCAAAATAATCCGAGTTCTTGAAAAGAACAGGCAGTAAAAAAAATTGAATAAATACCACTCCAGTTTCTCATTATTGTATATAACTTGCATATTATCACTATTCAAGGGTATATACATATCCTCAGTATAAACTATAAGTTCAAAATTGTGTTCTTACAACCTCAAGTATGATTTTGCTGGTTCTGCGCGAAGTCTCAAACAATTGTTTCTTTCAAAAGTTATAGTATTTGGTTATGCATCAGAATAAGTTCTATCCTCAGCCCGAAACATCAGAGCAACCATTAGTAATTCAGCAATATTATGTTATGGTTCAAGCAAATCAAACTGTAAGGTGCCTTGGGAAAACTCAAAACAGTGCACTCAAAACAGTTCTCAAAGAAAAAGACTACGAAGCATTATAGGCCTGAGCTATCTTTTACCTCACCAAGATAACTATACCAGAGTTAATAAAGCATTAGAGGAAAAAACAAAGCGAAAGAGCCAGCTGAATTCAAAATTATTACCCCTCTCAACTATATGCATATCACTGAATTCAACAAAAGCAAAAACTACATTGCTTATCTGGTAGAACAATTGCTACATGCAAACCCACATGGTTAGTTTTAGCTAACAATTTTGGTCTAGCCCTTAGCATCACAAGATGGCAGGTTTAGGACTTCACTTTGACTGCCACACTGTTCTAAAAGAGTACTCAGATGCAAGCCTAAGTGTAAGCATTCTGCAACATTTACCCGTCAATGTGGAAGCTTAATCAGACTACATTTTGCATGGAAACACTTTTGTTTCAGTTCCTCAAAAATGTAATTTGGAAGCACCAGCATGAAATATACAAATTTAAATCATCCTCATACTTGCCCACCAGTCCACCCACAAAATCAAACTCCATCTTACCTCTTAGTATTGTTCCTTCATTTTCTCTGTAATATTTACATCTGGCACATTAGGTTCATCTTCTAAGACAAACATCTGAAATGAATCAGATAGAAGGAACCCAGCAACTAAACACAAGGTAGCCGCTAGGGGTGAAAAGACAACTAATATTGGAGATAGCTGATTTTCCCTGAACACTAGGAGGCAAGGTTGGAGAGCTTCCAACTACTTGTCTTCCCAGCGAGGCTTGAGACAGGGGGATCCTCTTTCCCCATTTTTATTCATCTTAGCTATGGAAGGAATGAGTAACCTTATTAAAACAACAAAGGGAAAGGGGTGGATCAAGGGGTTCCAAGCAGAACTTTCTAGTTTGGAGATAACTCATCTACAATATGCAGATGACACATTGGTTTTTTGTGAAGCTGAGACAAAACAAATCCTGATTTTGAGGGTTATTTTTGTCATTTTTGAAGCTGTCTCTGGTCTCCACATAAACTGGGGGAAAAGCTTCATCTATCCTATCAATAGTGTGCTTAATACAGAAGTTCTGGCCAGAACACTAGGAGGTAAGGTTGGGGAGCTTCCAACTACTTACCTAGGTATGCCTTTGGGAGCTAAAAGCAAGTCCAAAGGCATATGGAATGGGGTCCTGGAGAAATGTGAAAAGAGACTCACCAACTGGAAGAGTCAGTACTTGTCCTTGGGAGGAAGATTGACTTTAATTAACAGTGTGATGGATGCATTACCCTCTTATATGATGTCAGTCTTTCCTATGCCTGCCAATGTATCTAATAGCATTGATGCTCTTAGAAGAAATTTCTTATGGCAAGGCAGTGAAGATAAGAAGAAGTTTCATCTTGTTAAATGGAAGGAACTGATTGTGAGTAAAAATACAAGAGGCCTAGGCATAAGAAATCTGAGGAAACAAAACCAAAGTCTAATCATGAAGTGGTTGTGGAAGCTTGCAAATGAAGATAACATGCTCTGGAAAGCGGTCATCACAGCAAAATATGGCATGGAAGATAAGTGGATGACTAAAATGATAAGTACTCCATATAAATGCACTGTATGGAGGGTAATTAGAAATCTATGGCCAGTGCTATATCACAGAACCAAGGTAGAAGTGGGAGATGGGTCAAAGACATCCTTCTGGGAGGATAAGTGGAATGGGTCTGTCCCTATGAAACAGTTGCATCCTGAATTGTTCATTTTATGCCAACATCTACAGGCCTCTGTGGCGACAATGTGGACTGGACAAGGATGGAATTTGTTCTTAAGGAGGAACCTTCAGGATTGGGAGATAGACAAAGTGGTAGAATTTCAAGATTCAGTAGGCTCTTTCAGCAACCTCACTGAAAAGGACTTCTTAGTTTGGCAGAATGATACCAAAGGTCAATTCTCAGTAAATTCAATTTATAAGGAACTCAACAAGAATGCTGGACAGGAGACGGAATGGACATGGAAGATCATCAGGAAACCAAAAGTACCCTACAAAGTAAACTGCTTAGAAGCAGTTTTGACTCATGAAAATCTAAAGAAAAGAGGCTATCAGTTGGCTTCTAGATGTACATTATGTGGAGAACATGCTGAGACAATTAACCATCTTTTTTTGCATTGTACATGGACAGAACAATTATGGAGAATGTTCATCTGCCTAAAGGGGATAAGATGGGTGAAACCAGGGAGCATTAAAGGAGTCCTGAGCAGCTGGAATAGAGATGGCAATGCTTCTGACAAGGAGAAGAGATGGAAACTTGTCCCAGCATGTATTTGGTGGACAATCTGGAAAGAGAGAAACAACAGGAGTTTTGAAAATTGGCAGAATAGCTTACAGAAGATCAAGATGGACTGCTTAGCTCTTTTCTATTTTTGGTGTAAACAAGATATATTAACTAGGACAGAAGACATCTTTGATGTGCTAGATTGTTTATAGGCAGCAGTTTAGACTAAGACTATTTTATTCTGTAAGTTGTAACACTTTTGAAGGGGAACTACACTTTTGTTGTAGTATACCTGTGGATATATAGATTAAAGTTACCAGTTTCAAAAAAAAAATAGCTGATTTTCCAGAAAATCTATTTATAATAGAGCATATTTTCATTTCCAAATCCACTTTAAAGATTTTTTTGCCAATTTACAGAATTATCAGGAAATTACTCAAATACCCCTCTTAAATATAACTGCATCTTAATAATCAAATAGTATAGGCAACTGGATATCAAAGTTCAAACACCCCAAAAACATCAAACATTAACAATTGTGAATCCAACACAAAATGAAAGGATGAAACTAGCTGAGATACATTATAGCTGGTGCCCAGAGAAATGGTGCAAATATCGCAGTCAATGGCAACCCACTAGATCCTATCGGGAGCGCATTAAATTCCCCCTTAAATCATAATCACCATATATATGCAATAAACACCTAACAGTTACTACTATCATAAAATAATCTTTGGCATTGTGACTCGGAATGTTATATTGAAATGACTACATTGTTACACCACATAACAGAAGAGAGATAGACAGAAAGTTTGTCAAAAAATCACATGTTAAACTAAGCTTATACTGGCCTCTTAATGGTGAAAAACAAAAAGAAAAAATAGAATCCCATTTTTGTAAGTATCAGATATAGAAATCTCAGAAGATATTGTATGGCCAAATGATTTCGGAATTAGAGACTGATTGATTTAAAGCAAAATAAGAAGTGCCAGCAGAGAACATCAAGAAAATATAATCTATGACATTCTAAGAGAACATATATATAAAATTCCTATTTTATCTGTTGTTCAGAAAATGAAAATTTAAAAGCATGAGTTAGTTTCTATAGGAAGTTAGGAACAGAGTCCGCAGTCCAGTTTCAGCCTTTCTACTGATTAATCGGTCTTACCTCCCAAACTTTGACATATTTTGATTGAGCTGATGGCAATGCAGCAGATGTTTGCTGTTGAGATAGAGGCATGTTAGCTGATGTGCTGTTCACACCAACTGGTTGCATGCCTGGTTGTCCTTGTTGAGACATCCCTGGAGTAGGCATCATTGTGCCAGTTCCGGAAGGCAAACCAGTTGCACCAAGCCCAGTCAGCATATTCTGGTTCATCCCTGTCCCACTTGGCATCATTTGTGTGCCTGGTAGATTACCTTGGCTCATTCCAGGAACTGTTTGACCAGTCATACTAACACCTCTTTGGTTATTATTCAAAGGCTGTGAAATGCTTATGTTTGAATTCCCAGACATACTGGGAGCAGTTGAAGTGAATGAAGAAGGAGCTGAGTTTTGCGTATTCTGTGCACTTCCTGCTAGTGGAACAGCCCCAGTCATTGTTGTCACACCTGATTGCCCAGATGATAATACAGCTTGAGAAGCAGGGACGGAAGATGCCATTCCACTAGATATCATACTTGAAAGCATAGGGGTGCCACCCATAGATTGCAGTCCTATAGAAGTTCCCCCGCCTAGAACTTGGTGTGCCTGAGCAACACCGTTCAAGATTTTGACATTTGCTGCTGCAGCAGCAACTGGACGTAAGGACTGAGTCATACCACTGACTATGGGTTTCATCTCCTGAACATTCTCAGTATGTGATGCCATCTCCTGAGAAACAGAAAGAGGAGAAGAAGCTTGCAAGCTTGGAACCGGTTGAAGAGCAGGACGAACAGACGGAATATGTGAAAATGCAGGTCCAGTCATGGAGGTCACAGTGTTGGGCTCCTGAAAACAAATGTTATAATATCATAGCATCTATGAAATATCTGTGTAGCAAGCAGGTGTACAAGTTGTTGAATCTTACAATTTTTACAGTGGCAGGAGGAATATTTCCAGCGGAAATTGGTGGTCGACTCATAACAGATACATTTGCTGAGAGGTAGATAGAAAAGAAAATCAGTATCCCTCCAACAATATAATTGCAGAGTAATCTAGATATCCCAGCATACTCTATATTAGAAAACAGTAATACACAAGAGTATCTTTTAAAACATTGATCCAGTAATTTTTTTGGACCTGTATTAACTAAAACTGTAATTTTAGAGAGTTCTCAACATTATGTAACATAATTAATCCTCAGATAAGATAAAAAAATGTATAAATGTAAAAGACGCCAAAAGTATCCTCACCATGTGGCCACATTCACACCTCAACCAAATTAGGGAAGAATAGGTGAGGGATAAATTGCAAATTTTAGCAATAGACAGTAGACACTACTGCGGCATTAAGAGTTGAACAGTTCAGCAATTAGTTGTCTATCCAACCGATCGTGCTTGAACTCCAAAAATTGAAACAAATTACACATGAAAAAGATTACACAGAACGAAATTGCACAGTAGAGTGAAACCATTCCCAACATATATCAGGATGAATAAAGTTCAAATAGTGGTTTTACTTGTTTTTCTATGGGTTAAATGTTTTGTCTATTCAACAACTTGACCCTGCCAACTTCAAAATAAAGCGGGGGATATTATTGTTAGTTTTCCTTTATTGCACATTTGGACTTTGTTAGTTGTTAGGTATACTTTCACAGTATAGTAAAGTGTTCCACACTGGACAAGTACAAATATCCTCATTGTAAAGTCTGTTTATAAAGGAATAAAAGTGTGAGAAACTAAAGTCACGCAACTTTCCCCCCCGTGTTCTTTGGTATTAGCGTGAAAACTATTTACTGTGCAACATTCAGCGACTTCAGCGAGAGAGAAACCGTCATCCTGCAGTTATTTCTGGTGACAGCAAAGTTGTCTGCTTCAAAACTATTCTTCATCAGTATTGTGCACAGTGCAATACCAAGCCCACCACAAGTCCATCGGCGTATGATGACCTAGTCCCAGCAAACCCAACCGGCAAAGACCATTACATGCGCGGGTGACAGACCAGAGAATTCCAGCGAGATCAAGCCATATGTCGGTGCCTGTGAGGTTTTTTGGCCATCCTCCAATGACGCACTTTCTTCTGTGATGTTCATCAGGTCATTCTGGCCACCAGAACACCACCTTCAAGCAAACAGCTTCAATTACTGGTGACTCCCAGACTTCCTTCTTTTATCCTTGAGGTCACCTAGCCTGTCTGAGTCCATCTCATGCAGTGTTTTTGAAAGCAAGACGCAAAAAAAGCGGGACCAAAACACTAGTGGTCAATGAAGTGGGTTGAGAACCATGAGGTCTCGGGTTCAAAAATCCAGAAGAAATAAGAACACTAGGATTATTTCTTTCCATTTGTCTTAGCCTTGGTGGACAGAGTTACTTGGTACCTGATGGTGGTGGGAAGTGGCAGTTATCCCGTGGAATTAGTCAAGGTGCACGCAAGCTAGCCCAGACACCACAGTTATCAAAAAAAGACGAGAGAAGTGAAGCACTCACATCAAGTGAAGCGCGTTTTTATTCAATTAAAATAACCAATTATCCAAACTGAAAAATAATCTTTAATACTATTGAAATTGAAGGAAATTTTATAGACTAATCAACTATACAAACTGAATGTATAACTATTTGATACTATTAAAAAAGACAAAGAAAAAACAGAAAAATTATATAAACAAAAAAATAAGATAGCAGCAACTTTCATCTTCAGTCGACAGATTCAGAGAAGAAAAAAAAATCAATTTCTTCCCCACCAGTGAAATTCGAACATTTTCAAAGAAGGAAAAAAACCAGCTTCCAACACCAACCATTGAAATTCGCAGGTCGAAGAGAAGCGAAAAAGACAGCTTCTTTCCCAATGAATTCGAGTTACCAGTTTCAAAAAAAGAAGAAGCAACATCAGCTTCCTAACCTAACCCATTGAAATTCAAAGGAGACGAGAAGAAGTAAAATTACCTCTTTTTTTCGAGATTCTTGAAAAGAAACCAAGGAAGTTCAAGGAAGAGGAGTAGATATCTAGAGAGAACAGCAAAAATGTTCACTTTGCTGAATTTGAAACATTTCTCTCTTTCTTCTTCAAATTTGTGCACAAAGAAGCGATTGTTTCATTGCTTTGCACTTCACAGACCAAGTGTTCACTTCTTTTATGTTGTCTCACCTCACCGACAAGAAGCGATGTACATGTGCTTCTTGTTGCTTTAAGCGATGAAGCACACACTTCTGATAACACTAATCCCAAGTACTTTCTATATCTTGTGATCAACAGATCTACCTTTTCCGGCAATTCCAATCACAATTCCAGCTAGATCTAGTTTTTCCAGCGGCATCTCTAATATTCTCTTTCACTTTGGGGTTCAATTGAAGCCTCTAGTTCACCAAATTGACTGTTCAAATATTTCGACCACTTTCCAACTATTTTTCCGGTAAATCGAAATTTATTCTCCGAAGTACGCACTGAAGCTGCTTTCTTGGGAATCCATTGTGGATATTTGCTAATCCTGTGTTAGAACTCTCTTCAATCCAGTATTATGACACTTGGTTGGATGTTTTTAGTTCCAAAAATAAGAATACGGAAACTAAGCCCCATGATTACTTCGTAACCTTTCATTGGAGGTTCTTACTATTTAGCATGGGCCTCTTCTGAAAGGAGGAATAGTATCTCACTGAAACAGCTTTCACCCTACTCCAACAGTCACTTGTTTGGTTGCAACTTTGGGAGGATGCAATTTCATTGCTTGTGATGTGATCAATCCTACACCTTCCTTGCCATCACGTATCATGTTCCACAATCTCCCTCTTCCACCTCCTGTCTATGGTAGTACTTGTTTTATTCATATTCTAACTACTAGACCTGATGAGCTGGCTCTTCGAGCCATAAAATGTTTCTTCCTTTAGCTCTAGGGCTGGCTATCCTGGCTTTTTAATCGGAAAAGGGGGAATGCAACACGAGGACTTCTCGGGGGTTCACCCATCCTAGTACTATTCATGCCCAAGCACGCTTAACTTTGTAGTTCTGATGGGATTTGATGCTCAAGGGATATCATTGCTATTCTCCTGACTTTTGTTGGTACCTAATATACGCAGTTTAGACTCATACTTATTTCATTTCCTTCTCTTTGGACCTATCTGCCGTCTTTGTTGTCTTGCACGCGATCTTGCCAAAACCAATACAGCTTATCTTACCAATTACTTGGAGACTCCAGCTCCCTCTTCTCCTACAACACAGCTAGCATTGCCGCTACTCACATATTATCTTCACCAACATCCTCTACCGAGTACGATTGATTCACAATTTGTTCTAGGTCCTTCTTTAACTAAGGATCCACATTCCACCTACTGTTGGTCGAAAAGGAATACACTCTAATCATAATCCTTCTTCTTCTTCTTTTTTCTAGTGTTTCAATTCCTAAATCTACTGGCAAAGCTCTATCTATGCAGATCGGAGACGAGCAATGATTTAGGAGATTTATGCTTAACACTCTACTGTTACTTGAGAACTTATTCCTCTTCTTCCAAGTAAATATATTGTCGATTCTTTGTGGGTGCATTCCGTAACAGTTTTATTTTTTGATAACTATGGTGTTCGGGCTAGCTTGCACACACCTTGACCAATTTCACGGGATACATGCCACCTCCCACCAGTAACATATATCACATAACTATGTCCACCAAGGCTAGAACAAATGGTAAGAAATCTAGATTTTTTATAACCGTGGTGTTCGGCCATGGGATACCTGCCACATCCCATGCCACATCCCACTGACAACAAGTTTCAGGTAACTATGTCCACCTAGGATAGAACAGATGAGAAGGAATCTAGATGGTTTAATTGATTGACTTCAGGCCCACTATCTAGGTAAAGGGTAACTGCAGATAAATGATTGCAACTATCTTGCTATTTTTTCTCCTATAGCTAAAATTGCATCTCCTTTTTGTGTCCCTGGTAGTTATTTACTATTGAACCCTTCATCAGCTCGTCATCAAGAATGTCTTTCTTTACTGTGATCTAGAAGATGAGGTATGAACTAACCGCCAGGCTTTATTGCTAAACGGACTCTACGGGACTTGCATGTTGATTACACTTATCTTTATATTGTCTAAATCTTTTTCCTCGTACATAGTCTGGCAAGTTCAACAAACTTATGCAAGCGATTAGCATGATTCAGGAAGCTGATAACTTTGTATTTTATCGATACAAGACCTTAAATCTATGTTTGAACCAAAGCTAATCACTTTGTTTATGTTGATGATATGATTATCACTTGCAGTGATCAAGAGGGCATTAACAGCTTGGAACAACATCTCTTTCAGCAATTCCATACAAAGGACCTAGGTAAATTCCGGTATTTCCATGTTTTGAGGTAGATTAGTCCAGATCAAGTATTGTCATTTCACAACAGCAGTGTTCTGGAAAGTGAGAAGCAAGAAAAAGCAACAAGAAGAACAGGAATTGAAAAATACACCTAATCTCGTTTTTCATAAAGCGACGCTTCAGGCTCGCCTTGCTTCTCGCTTCTTCTACTGAAGTGAGTGATTTTTTCATATCACCTCGCTTTAGTGACCTAAGTTGATTATGTCTGAGATTGCCATAAGACCTCCCTCTTGGAAACTGGCTAATACAAAAGGGGGGCAACCCATTTTACTTTTTTTAAAATTTTCTGCTTACTTGCCTTATTATATTATGGTAGTACAATGTTTTGCATGAAAATACAGTAGATGAATAACCATTCGCTGTAAAATTATTTATTTGAATATCATATTTCCTATCAGACTAAGCATAAATGTTTTTTCCATGTTTCAGAATACGATTAACCAACATGTTAACTAATTGATTACGATAAATTGGATCAGATTTTGCTCTTTTTTCTGATGACAGTTGTGACTTATAAACTTACATGGATCAAACAATTACTAAAAGATGGAGTTTGGAGAAGCTACTCAAATGGAGAGTGTTTGTGAGAATCATGTTGCACTCTATATCGCCTCAAATCTCGTTTTCCATAAAGCGACGCTTCAGGCTCGCCTTGCTTCTCGCTTCTTCTACTGAAGTGAGTGATTTTTTCATATCACCTCGCTTTAGTGACCTAAGTTGATTATGTCTGAGATTGCCATAAGACCTCCCTCTTGGAAACTGGCTAATCAAAAGGGGGCAACCCATTTTACTTTTTTTAAAATTTTCTGCTTACTTGCCTTATTATATTATGGTAGTACAATGTTTTGCATGAAAATACAGTAGATGAATAACCATTCGCTGTAAAATTATTTATTTGAATATCATATTTCCTATCAGACTAAGCATAAATGTTTTTTCCATGTTTCAGAATACGATTAACCAACATGTTAACTAATTGATTACGATAAATTGGATCAGATTTTGCTCTTTTTTCTGATGACAGTTGTGACTTATAAACTTACATGGATCAAACAATTACTAAAAGATGGAGTTTGGAGAAGCTACTCAAATGGAGAGTGTTTGTGAGAATCATGTTGCACTCTATATCGCCTCAAATCTCGTTTTCCATAAGACGACCAAGCACTAAGAGATTGGTTGTCACTTTCAAAAGATACTTTTAGCAGATATGGTCACAAAATTTGTAAAGCCTAATTATTAGCTCGCATTCATACTTACCAAGCCTTTCCCAGGCCCTCGAGTCTCGAGTTAGTTATATATGTACAAGATCGGTATGCATGACCAGCTTGAAAAGGTATAAATATCCTCATTATAAAGTCTACCTATAAATAGATAGAAGCATTAGACATTGACGTCACACATTCCTATAAACACTTTCTCTCATGTTCTGTTTTTTTTAATGAAGTAAGAATTAGTATTAAAGCACTGTGTACGTGCTGATTATAAAAGAGATATTGTTAGCCCTATTCAAAAGTCCTATGCTAGGGATGGGGAGCTAGCAAAATCCAAAAGAGACTCAGGGAGCTAACAGGGTATAGACTGCTCCAACTACTTAAAGCAATTGAACATTGAACTTTTAGGGAGTGAAAGGAGTTGCTAAATCATCAAAACATATTCGGTTCCTTTTCCTCTCGTGTTTTATTTCTCACTAACTTATTTTTTGGTGTGTATTCCTATATTTCTATTCACAAAATTACACTGCCAAAATGGAAGTGCAAAGAAAGAGCACACAAATGAATAAGGTAATATCAGGCTGAGCAAACGCTCCTACAGAGTCGGTATATGATAAAGGTGGAAAATAAGTTTTAAAAATAATTACACAAACCTGCTGAATTAGAAATTGATTGTGTGCCAGAAACTGGAAGAACAGAAGACACATCCATCTTGACAGGGCTGTGATTTGACGCCAAGTTGGTCATTCCAGAGCGACTGAAAGCAGCACGAGCCTCGATGAAGTTTTCGGATATCAAAACAAGAAAGTTTGGATTCTTAGCCGTATCAATGGGCGGGTCAGCTGCTCGTGGATTGTGTTTTCCCTGTATCCGACAAAGTTCACACTTAATTCCATTTTTTTTTTAAATTCTCAAAGAAAAAAGACTAGAAGGATAACAGTGTGAGCAGAGTGAGGAAGATTATAAGGTCCTCTTCCTTTCATGGAAGACAGACCTACTGTCAAAAATCATGAAATAATAGAATGAAGATAAGTATCATGGAGGATTCCAAGGCAATTTTAAACGATAAATACTTTATCCACGATGCCTTAAAAGGTTGATCATATCTAAGCACTTATGAAGGCTAAATGATTCTGCACCACTATAGGATGTTGCATACTCTCAAACTGGGACTCCTAAATGAAAAAGAGATAAGTTAATGGAGGATGTCACTGTGGAGCTCATGGATATTCTTACTTCTGATGAACAAGCATAGAGTTTGAAACAAATGGAACTATAAAGTCCACTTGCATCGCCTTTCTCTACTTAAAACTAAGTGATAATGTCATGCGGTTCCATCATAAATTCATATTTTTTAACTAGTGAAATATTCTCCATGACGTAAGTATTGAAGGAGTGAGAAGTGCTCCAAAGATTACTCCATTAATGACACTCCAAGAATATAAAATATGTCGTACACAAATCAAATATAATCATGTTGTAAATATATGGCACCTGGGCCTAACTCAACCTCAAAAGCTAGTCATGAGGGGAGGATTGCCCAAATCCATATAAGCATATTACTAGTCCATTCACTAACCAATGTGGGACTCTAACCCACTTTAACTCTCCCCCTTCACGCCCAGACCCAAATGGAGCATGGACCCAAAGCCCAAACGGGGATTGACCTGGCTCTTATACCATGTGAAAAATAAAGGAGAAAATATTATTGAATTATGTATCTACATTATTACATTGATCCCTCTTTATAGACACTACATTGCAATCCTTAACCAAGTAGGATTTTATATACTATTCTTATTCCTATTCTAATTCTAACACATGTAACTTGCCCCAATCCTAAGCATAGAATCATGATAAATGAGTCACAAAGTCAGAAACTTTCTGGTTCAAGAGAGAGTAATAATATTGTTTCTGTCGAGGTAAGACAAAGCATGCAGGAAGTCAATCAGCAACTAGGAGAAATTGAAGACAGTAAATATTGTAGGTCTCAGGAACAAAGAAGAGTCAAGTTTCAACACAATACAAACAGTCTTTGAACCTAATAAACAAAAAAGGAAAGAAATCAATGAAGTTGGCCACAGTTACCGCATCATATATTGCTCTTAGTTTTGGAAGCTTTTTTGGGCATAGAACTGACAGGGAAATGGAACACTGCAACGGAAAGAGAAACTTGTCAGCAAAGGATGAAGCAGAATACGTGAGGGGAACTCCAGGATTTTAAAAAGTAAAAGGCCTTAGAGCAGTACCTGAGGGAATGCCTTTGCAACTGTCTCAGCATCCGATAGTCGACTATCTGTTTGTGCTTCAATATTTTCGTTCTGCTCCAGTTTCTGCATCTGTGGTCGATAAACTGGTGTAGGCAACGGATAAGGGTTGCTTCCAGAAATAAGTATACAATGTTTTTTCCCTTCCATGTTTTGTTGACTTTGGTTACCATTTAGTCCAGAAAACATCTGAAGGAAGCATCAGTTTAGTTATATATATATGTTAATAAATTGACAGGCTCCTCTTCTCCATGGAGTTGGATGAAGAGTTTAAATACATAAAGTTATCTCTTGGAAGAATCAAAAACAAAAAGTCAGCACTGAAAAAACGTTATTCGTATTATTCTCTGTCTAACACATATCACATGTGATTCATAAAGGTCATTTCGATTATTGATATTATCACATGACAACAATAGAGATGCAAAGTTCATTTTTTAAACAACTTAAAATCAATGAAACGCACCACTAATGCTTCAGCAAGTCCTTCTGCAACTGCAGCGTCATTGAAACCACCTCCTAAAAAAGGTATAGCTGAAAGCCACTGCAAAAAGGTATCCATGTCTCTTGTCCAGCCACTCCGCTGAACCAGGCAAGCTGCATAAAGGATAGTAGTATAGAAGAACAGGAAATAAAATTGTCAAGCAAAAAGAAAAAGAGAAAATATGTGTCTTGACAAAGAAAGAGTAGTGAGAGACGGACTTGAAAAACAAGAATTCTTTTTGACACAAGATCAAAATTGAATAATCCCCTTCAAAGTTTTATGTTGCTGTGGCCACAATTTCTTTTTTCATTTTTCCTTTTTCCTTATTTGGGGAAGAGAGTAGGGAGGGGAATATGACTGAAATTGCAACAGACCATCAAATCCACTAGAATATCACTGAAATAAATCAATTTGAAAGTTAAGAAATTGAAGTTGACTGTAAGCCATTATCAAGAGGATCTATCAATCCTATGCGCATTTATACACTCATGGAAGTCAGATACAAAAATAATTCATAAATCATGGATCAAGAGAGTCGCAATTAAGTTATCTAAACTCTATGCTGAATAGATAGATTTGGCATGTAAGAATCACATTATTAGATAATTTCCACATCAAGGAGATTGTACACACCACCTAGAAAACAGTCCTTAAATCATAGAATGATGCAGATTTCATCTGGACATACCATAATACCAGTACTGAATTTTTTGTTTCCCCTGGTTGAGATTTCAGACTGGGACAGAAAATGGTTTTAAGTGCATGACTCAACAAGCTCTCATGCTTGAAATTGCAATTAAATCAGCTAACAGAACCAGAAATTAAGAACAAGAAAAATACAAACCACTATAAGAACCATGTGTATTAAACATGACCAAGGAGACCTCCACATCGGCTGCAGATGATTTCTGAAATTTCAAAATGGAAGGTAAAATTAGCCTAGCTAGTAGAAGAACGTACAATTAATTGCTTTCAACTCAGATAGCATGGAATACTGTTTTCTTTTTCATCAGCAATATGGAATGTAATGGGACATGCTTATTTGAGTTATAAATTACGTTGTTCATGATGAATATTGAGATATTAAATTTACTCATACAAAATTGCCATCACATAAATACTAGAGAAGAATAACCAGTTTACAAAAATGAGCCATTTAGAATATGCGAACCTGTGAAGTTGAGTCCACTCCAAAAAAGCACCTGCACAAATTACCAAAAGGCTATACTCAGTAAACTTTATCTTGAATACTACTTGCAGGGTTTAATATGACCAACTTACAGAACAGGAGATCAATAAATTAACAACAGCTTCGATACATATTAGGTTACATATATACAATATATCAACCAACTATTAGGGGAAACAGAAAGCACTTTAATTTTCTTTGTTTGGTGGCTGCAGGAGTGATGCTATGGATTAGGGCTTTAAAGTTCCATAAGGAGGTATCAGAGGGATCTAAACCAAACACTCTTCCAGGAAAAAAATTGAAAATAAGAATATCAAAGAAGAATGAAATGGATGACCAGTTAAAAGCATCAAATCATCATATAAAGTTTTAAGACAATCTTATTTCATTGAAAGGATGGAACAACCATGAACAAGCTCCATAACAACACATTGGCAAATGAAAAAAATTCTGCATGTGTTGATTCAAATACTAAACAAACATCAAATTTTAGAAGAACCACACGGCAGAGGTTTCTGCATCAGCCATTCAAGCCAAAAAAAACTACCTAACTGTTTCAGCTAAAAGCTCAGAAAGCCAAACAAAAATAAATAGCCAAGGTAAAGCTAGATAAAAGGAAGAGCTGAGTAGGTGAAGGAGGATGAATTCCCAGTCATTTGCTCAACAACACATGTGTTCCTGCTTGCATATGTGCAGCTCAGCATATTTGAGAAGAAACCCGAACTGATATCAATTCAAAATCGGATGATCTCACCTTTCAGAAATACCAGTACAAGAAAGAACTAAGAAGCATCTCAAATGAAGAAACCTAACTGAAAATTGATAGAAATCTATAATTAAGTAGACCAGCGATAGAAGGTCAGAAAGCAGGTCTAATTATCCCTCTCAGTGGTCGACAAGAATTGTTAGCCAAAAGAAACCTGCTAATGTACCTTCCATGACTACAATAATTTTTTTCCCTTGAACATGTTCTTCTCATTAGCATCCTGAGCTTGCCCCTAGAGGGGAAACATTTACATGACCTCAAGTGGCATATAATCAACCTTGTCATGGACAGGGTTATATATAGTTAATAACCAAAATGAGTTGCATCCACACCATATGGATAGAGGATTTTCCCAGGTAGTCTTGGAAAGACTATACTCCCATTTAAACATGGCAGTATATTAAAAACATTTTAATAAATCCTTCATTCAAATTGTGCCCAAAATTTTCAAATTTAGATATACATTTAAGATTTCTCAATAGTTAATCTTAAGTTTTAAAATTAACATCTGCATTTAATACTTCTCCAGAGTTTATATATCTCACTAAGCATGGAATGTAGTGAGCCGGCAAGTCAACTAACAGGAGACTAACAGTCTAAGAAATTGTGGGTCTCAATAAGTTTATTGGATTGAGAAAAATATGCCAGAAAGATAACTGTAATGCATGCATAAATAGTTGGCAAAGCAATAATGTCTTAAGCAGCATAATTCAATTATCATGGCTTCTTTTAGCTTCCTTCAACCCAAGAATGGAAGTAATATAATTGGAAGTCATTTATCCAGTTTGTACTCCAAAAAGCCTATTTCTAAACTACTTTTATCGCTGAAATGCCTCTTCTGAAAGAGCATTAACCTTGTTTACTTATCTTTTCATAGAATAGCTACATCCATGCAGAAGATTAAAATACACTGTTGATTCCAAGCTCCGCAGACTTAATTAACACGCGACTAAAAAGTTAGAGAAAAAGGTGAGCAATATTTTCGTATTAAATGATCATATTTCCCTTATTCATGCTTCTCTGTATACCTAAGGGCTTGGTCTATTTAATTTTTGCTAGAATAAGAGGGGAAATTTGTCGGTCTAAATAATTCACCATCATCGGATTTGCGTTGCCTAAAGGTTTCACTTTGACTATCTTCTCCTACATTTTGACTTTGAGGGGGTAAAATGTATATATTTTGTTTTCTTGATGTCACATTTAGGTTGTTTAACATCCTCATTGTCTATTGTTGCAGTATTACGTCTCTTTTAAAGAATGCAGATGAGCAAGACTATGGTGCCACTATAAATTCAAAATAAACACAATAAATATAAATCAGTTAAGTAGTCAAAGTGGAGAGATAGAAGATAGTAACCAAATTACTGAAAAACAAAGATCACAGCTGTTGAAACTTGAAAAGAAGAATCACTGATTGAGAGCCTTAAGAATTGAAAGATGAGAGAGATACAAGATGATGAAGGTTGCAAGAGAATTCATGGAGAAATAGTAATTGTGTGAACAAGAAATGGTAAGTAGGGTTTATGTTATATAGTTTTAGGCTATGTTGCTTGGACTCTTCAAAAATGTCACCAAGTGGATGTCGGATCCTTCAAATGTAGTGCATTTTTGGAGGATCCGACAAGGGTGCGGCAGCATTTTTGGAGATTCCGAGCAACTTAGGTTTAGGGTTTGAGAGAACCACGTAAACAAAAGATCTTATAAGAAGGGAGGGGTGGGTAAAGTGCAACAACGGTTGGAAATTCCAATCATTGCAAACAACTACGAGTTTTTTAACCGCCTCCCTTCAGGAATTAGACTTTTTGTAAGCCATTCATTCTTATTTTCTTTTTTCAAAGTTAAACTTCGGTATCAAGGCACTTCAAAAGTTCCCCAAATTAGTTCAGAGAAACTCAAATGCTATGTGCACATGATTATCACATAGAGAAATGGTATTTCCCGAGAATAGCATTTTCTCAATGATTTACTAGGATTTTTTGTAAGAGATATTTACAAAATTGAATAAATAAACAACTCATTTTTTATAATTAAAACATAATTGAAGTAGATTATTACAACTCAATGTATGGAGTCTGAATCTCCGGTCAGCTGAGGTCAGGAGTTGGATTCCATTAGCTTGTGACCATAATTTCGGTTAAATTCGGGTAAAGGTTGAGGCTTTAATTCCCATCCTAAACTAGGGAAAGATAATCGGCCGACGATACAACAATTAATCCAAATAACGAAAATTAATGGCTGAATTCTGGATGAAATACTAAAACAAAAATGGTAACAAGTAGAAAAAATAAAACTGAATTTAAGTATATGAAAATGAGTACCTGATAATTTTATCAAGGTAATCGGAAACGATGGTTTTCCAGTAAGGACCCAACGCAGCGGTGCCTTCAACGGCGACGATCAGTTTGTCCACCATCTCTGCTTTAACCAACTGCTTGATTTTCCCTTTCCACGTCCAACCTTGTTTCGTTTATTCTTTTCTTTTCTTAAAAAATTACTCTCTAACAATAATAATGTTGTGCAGCAGCCAAAGACTACAAAATGTTGACTTATAAATACTATATCTAGGGTTTTTTTTTTTTAATTTCCCTAATATTTATCAATTATATATGGAAAATAAATTGATTCTCAATAAGAATTAATACACCAAAAAAAATTATGGTAAATATTGTATTATGGTAAGTCACTGTCTTAAAAGCAACTTTCATTGCAAATTGTTATGATCGTTTCTTCCAAGGTTATACAATTACTTTTAAAAACGTATATTCGTAATTGAAAGTTAGGAGTTCACATAAAAAAAATACTCTAAAAATAAAAATAAATAAGAATAGAAGAGGACTCTCGGTGCTTTTTGTTCAAAAATGAAGTTGTTTAAGTAGATGAAAAATTTCGGAAAATGTCAAGTCTCAGTTGATGACCTATAGACTGACATGATGGTTTGTAGAATGGTCTATGATTCAAAGAGAGGAACCGTAGGAGTGTTCTAGAAAAAAATTGAGGAACGTTGGTTCTATGAGAGGGTCCTACGGATCGTAGGAAGGACTTCGTAAAAGTTGACCCCAAATCTCAATCTTCAGTACTCGATCTACGGTTGACCAATACGAACTGTAGAAGTTTTTATGATCTATAGGTGGCACCCATAAAGTCGATCCCACGGTTTTTAGTAGGGCTATTCCAGTGTTTACCCACCCCTTCTAAGCTTAAACCCCAACATTTTTTACCTTTAATTAAGGGTGAAACATTGTTGATCAACTCTTTTACGTTCATTAGCACTCCCAAGACTCAAAGCAATCATCCAAGATGAGAAAGGTAGGGTTTTCAAGTATCCTCTTCAAGTTCTTCGAGTTTCTTCAAGAAAATTGTTCTTCCAGGTATGTAAGGCTATTCATAGTGATAGATTGAGTTCGTCCTCATGCCCTACATCTAAATTCAGTCAGTAAGAGTTTAATCTAGGGTTATACCCTTAGTTTTGAGAATTCTTGATATGAATTATGTTATTGATTCCAAGTTCTAAATTCTTGATTTTGAGTTGCAATATATTATACATTGAGATCTTTGAGTTGTTTTCCATGTTTATATTCCCACTTGAACCCTATGATGAGTGGTAGATTTCCATTCATTTGAGGTCTCTTTAGTTCAACAATTAGTGTCCTTGATGCCTGTTTATGTCATATCCTGATGATATTTTGAGGTTTTTCAGGTATGAAGGATAAAGGGCAAAGCAATGATGAATCCATGAAAAAAAGGCTAAAAACATTGTAAGGAGTACAAACTCCCAATTGGTAGTCGCCTAACCAAAATGGTTGATCGCCTAATTGGTCTGACCTCACCCAAGTTGACAGTGTGCACAATTGTAAATATTCAAGGCAAGTCGGCAGACTAAAGACGAAAAGGCAATTCGCCGAAGTTGAATGGGCGAACTAGAAGTCCATCACCAAAGGTGACAGAATTTTGAGCAAAAATGAAAGTTGAAAGGGTGAACAAGGTGGTAATCGATGATCCGTCGAATATGAAAGACTGATTCGATCGAGTTCACCAATTGAGGTTCAAACACCTGAAGCTTGAAATAAAAGAAGAGCGAGCTAAAGAGCAAACGACGATCTGCCAAATGAGTTAAGCAAGCCCTACTAACGTCACCGAATGAGTCACGTATGGAATCTTGGGGAAACTATAAATAACGCAAATGAGAGAGAAAATAAAGGAAGTTTGGGGGGAGGCCAGTGGAATGTTAAGATAAACTTTTCCCTAATTTCATAGTTTAGTTTTGATATTGAGAAATACTTTTTTTTCTTAGTTTTTGGGTTTTTCAAACACTCTTGTAATTAACAATTGAGGGTTGAAATTGAAGTGTTGTTGAAGATTATTGCTTAATTTTCAACACATTAATGGTTGGTAACATCATAAGTATAATTTCTTTATTTTTTATGATGTGTGACTAAAATCCCAAATCTAGGGGTGTGATTATGGGCTTGCGTGATGATTTAATGTAGTGGGTCTTGTTCTATGTTGTGTTTTATTATTGTTCATCTATGAATTTAGGTTATTTAGCATGAGATTAAATTCATAGGTAAAGGTTGCAAACTATTCCTATTCGAGATCTTCGATTGATGTTCGAAAGAGATCAATTGAAGTGGGTAAGTAACTTGATGTATGCAATTTAGGTTTGACTTCTATGGTTTGCTCGAAAGAGAAATTATAGTGCATTTCTAGTTGCCAAATCTGCTCGAAAGAGAGATTTCGTAAGGTAATGGGATGATTTGTGATTCACCTAGATGAGACTGAAAGGAGATTCTATGATATGGTGCTATGAGATCGAAAAAAGATTAGTGTCATTAACATTTCCTAGCCTATTCATATTTATTTAGCACTATTAAGCAGGACGTGTACCCATATGTGACATCAATACCAATCTCCACACCTCTAGATAGTCTCTTACTTGTGAAATCCCTATGTTTTTAGTTTAATTGTGATACTTGATTACAATTCTCTTTTTGTAAATTTGGTAAAATTATCTACCCAATTGTTCTAAAGTGCTACAATGAATAGGTTCGCATACTTAATTTCCTTGTTGAATTCTTATCCTTAAATCATTCCTTGTGGGATTCGACCCCAACTCTTCATTGTGTATTTTTATGGCTGACGATCGCTTACTCTTCTAATTGTTTTGAGGGTAATTTAAGTGTTATCAAAAATGGTGTTGCTGCTGGAGAATGGTAGCTAAGAATTCAAGTTGTTAAGTTAGTTTGTAAAGTTGAGTTTGTTCTATACCCTGGCAAGGTATAGAACAGTTCTAGCTGCGTGGATGAGATGATGTATCATCACGAGACTCATAGTGATGATTGTCATATATATATATATATATATATATATATAGAGAGAGAGAGAGA